TCCGGAAGCCCGTGGTTTCTGGTTTGGACATTTAACCTTCACCCAGCCCGCTCCAGAGTAAATGTTTGCAGTGGCCCGGCGGCCTGGGCCCAAGGCCAGCCGGCTGCCCTGGAGAGGCCACGCTTGGAAACCTCCCCGCCGGGACAGCTGCACACGCGATCTTACTGAATTCGGGGGTGGGCGAAGGAAGGAGTCGAGCTTGGGCGCACGCATGGACGCGAGAGAGCATCACAAGGTAAGTGGAGACTTGGCGCCTCAGCAGTTGAATCCATGCGCGCACGGGCGGATGCACCAGGGAGTGTGTGCGTGAGTGAGGGCGCGCGTGCGCATGCAGGAGTGCGGCCGTGCGGGCCCGCAGGAAGCAGGGAGCGGGTGGGTGCCGTCCACGCGCTCCGGACTTGGATGTTGGTGACGGGCGGCACGCATGAATGCAAGAGTGTACCCACGAGCGAAGGCGTGAGTGAGGATATGCGCGCAGCAGTGCGTGAGTGAGTACGGACAGGAATAACTGAACGCATGCGTGCGTGAATGAAGGAGGGGATCTAGGAATGAGTGAATGACCGGGCTCAGTGCATGAATGAGTGAGTTCATGTATGCGTAATTGGATGAGTGCGTGAAGGTCCATATCCATGAATGAGTAGTATGCGCAGGAGTGAATGAATGAATCAAATGTACGAACAAGGGAATGAGTGAATGCGTGTATTCATGAATGAATGAATGTGTGCACGAGTGAACGAATTAAATGTATGAACGAGGGGATGAGTGAATGCGTGTATTCATGAATGAATGAATGTGTGCATGAGTGCACGAATTAAATGTATGAACAAGGAAATGAGGGAATGCGTGTATTCATGAATGAATGAATTGTGCACGAGTGCATGAGTTAATCAAATGTATGCACAAGGGAATGAGTGAATGCAAGTATTCATGAATGAATGAATGTGTGCACGAGTGAACGAATTAAATGTATGAACGAGGGGATGAGTGAATGCGTGCATCCTTGAATGGATGGAGGTGCGCACAAGTGAAATTTAGGAAGTAGTTCAAGTCAGTCGTCCAGAACTGGGCAGGACAGGGAGGCATGTGGCTCATGTGCGGACCCAGGAGCCCCTGGTTTGAACCCTCCCGCTATTGCATGAGTCCAGTTGAATGTACAGAGAAAGGGGGGGGGGCATAGGGGCAGCGGGTACCCAGGGATGCGGCCCTGGAGAGCTGAACATGTTGGACACACAGCTTGAAGGCTCATGAGAAGAATGTGGGGCAGGAGTTGGTGTTGGGACAGGAGACATGTGAGCCAAGGAGACTCATAGAGGGAGAGAAGCGTCTGCCAGATGGGCCAGGAACTCCTGGGGGAGGAGAAAACTCTTGGCTGGGGCCACAGGAGAGCACAAGGACCGGTGATCAGAAACACCAGGCAACTATTTCCGGAACTCTTCATTGTCTGTGGCCCTCCTTGGTCCGGCAGGTTGTCATCGTCCTGCCAGCTGAGGTGTCCAGGGGACATACATCTGCAGGGGGGAGTTGACGTGCCATTGCCAAGGAACGGAACAGCTGGGCTTGCTGCCCTGTAAAGTCACCTGGGGTGGGGGAGGAGAGAGGAGTCCCAGAGGGGGTCACCCAGCCACCTGCCCCACAGGTTCACCCCACATCATGTCTACACCATCAGTACACATACCAACGTAGTTTAAAAAGACGAACAAGGTCTTTGTGCTATTATGAAAATTGCTCCTCCCAACCCCCACAGACGTCGGGGTGTCAGGGAACCCCCACCTAGGGTTCCACATCCCACACTTGGGAACTGGCACAACTGAGGCTCCAGAAATGAGAGAAGAAGGTCCAAGAGGACATCGCCCATGCTAAACCTCATTAACAATCAGACAGATATTGCCAAGCGATATAATTATTATCCTGATATTATTATTACTATCATCCCAGCATCTCAGCTTCCCCAGAGCAGGGCTTTGCCGGATTTCATCTGGTTCCCCATTGGGACAAGTCACCCACTCGCGACCCCATGGGGAATGGGGGCTTGGCATGCTCCAAAGCCACCGGGGCTCACTGGCCTGGGAAAAGAAGGGACGGAGACAGAGAAGGGAAGGGCCCCGGGTTCTAGAAGCACCTGTCCATAGAGACAGCACCCTCGATCAATAACCATCAGCCTCGGGGGGCAAATACTGGTAGGGTTTTTCCACCCCACACACTCCACCCCACAGACAGGCCCAGACCTGTTAAGGAATTGCAAGCAGGTGCAGGCACTGGGAAGCACCCCCTGGAAACCACAGTGTAGCGCCCGCCTGCCTCATCACGCTGACCGTTTCTACCCTAGCGGTCTCCAGAATCCACACCTGCTGTGCCATCAAGGTATCGCTGGTCTGTCCCAACAGGAAAGGCGCATGGAGCTTTCTGTCCCCACCACAGGCTGTGTGCATGTGCTTGACTCCTTTTGGGGTCTGCGCAGGTATCTGCAGGGCTTATGGAGCCTCTAGAAGGTTCCTCAACATCCCCGCAGCCTCTGACCTAGCGGTGGGAGCATCAGGATCTGAGAAATATCTGGGGAGAGCCCCCTCTGGTGTCAGTACCCCTGTGTCCTATCCCCGGCCCGCCAGCCTGGAAGGGGAGAAATGTTCACATGAAGCTGGACAGGCGGGGGAAGGGGCAGGTCTCACGTGAGTCCTGCTCAGCCCCCCAAAACCCCCTCGCTTCCAGGGGAAGGTGGAGGTTCCCTGGCCTCCGCTGGTCTTGCCGTTGGCTCCAATATTTGCCAAGTGTCCCCGCACATCCATGCCACAGCTCATTCTGTTTGGCCTCAGTCTGGCCTCAAGTGAGCAAACTGTGGAGTGCTGTGTGCAAAGGCCCTCCTCTGAGGAATGGGTCCTGGGACAGACCTCCGACAATCAGAGATCTATTTCCGAATGTCCCAGACAGCTCCTGTCTCCTTTACTACATAGGGCAGTGAGGTTCCCAAATTGTCCCCTTTCCATGGGTTAGAAGTTACCCAGCAGCAGGATTTCGACCTGGCACTAGTAACATGTGGGGCAGGTCACTATCTGAGGTGGAATGTCCCGTGTACTCTGTAGGGTGTGGAGCACTGTCCCTGGTCTCCACTTACCACATGCCAGGAGCATGCTGTTCCCTCCCTCAGTGTGACAACCAGAAACAACTCCAGACATTGCCAATGGTCCCCTGAGGGGCAGAATCACCCCTGGGGTGCTAGCTACTGTGATGGATGGATGGATGGATGGATGGATGGATGGATGGATGATAGATTAGATAGATAGATAGATGATTGATAGATAGATAGATAGATAGATAGATAGATAGATAGATAGATAGATAGATGATGGATAGTTATGATGGATGGATGGATGGATGGATGGATGGATGGATGTTTGGATGGATGGATGGATGGATGGATGAAGGGATGGATGGTTGTTTGGATGGTTGGATGGATGGATGGATGAAGGGATGGATGGATGGATGGATGG